AATCAAGATTCCAGCAATGGGGGGGGGGGTTAATTGGGAGTTAAATACAATTATTGGAGTATGTTTCTTTGTAAATAATTGTAAAATTTACTAGCAATTTCTCAATCAATTGTTTCTACACCTTTTTTCGTGTATCTGTCACTGCTTGTGGAACTTGCATCAAGCCTGACAGACGTCTTATTTCAACCCCTATTATAGGAGAGTAGAGTTCATTCAATTTTTATTTTGTTTAATAAATGCCTTTTTGAAAAACATTGCTGAGCACTACACTGCTTGTGCATGCAACACGTTTCAATGCACCATGTCGTCTATATTGCAGTAAGATCCAATCTGTGTAAATTAATTAAAAACACATTTATGCTTCCCATGTTGGTCAGTTCTTCCTTTTGTTGGAAAGCAGATAAATTCAAATGAGGTCTTTTCATTTCACTTTTGACTTCAAGGTCTTGTTTTTCCTCTTATCTTGCAGCTTTCCCATCTTTTCATAGAGTCAGCGGCACTAAGTTCTCATTGCCGTCTTTATAAGCTATCCTTCCTACGGTTAGCTGAAGGAGTGCTGTTATTACCCATGAACCCTTGCTGCAGCTTTTTCTTTGTCAGACTAAAAGAACCAGAAGGTCAATCTCAGGGTGGCTGTGACATTATCTTCAGATTGAATGAAAGTTGAAGGAACTCTTTGAAAGAGAACATCTATTCAACCAAGTCTCAAAAAGAAAATAATTTCTGCAAACCTCACACTCCGAATCCACCATCACATCCACCTGTTGAAGGTTTCGGAGATTGGTTTGGTCCGAGCTGTGGCTTGTCTTCAGGTGGGATTTGCTGATGAACATCTCTTAATCAAGCTGTAATTGTTTTGAGCATGACCCTGCTTGACCCGGTTAATGGGAATGGCCCTGATTAACCATGTGTGCTCAGTCACACAGTGGGAGGCGCCGCCCACACCCACGAGTCATTGGTTATTAATTAATTTATTAATTAAAGGGTAACAATGAAGCAGAAACAAAGAAGCAGCCAAAGGACAATGAGGGGAGTGATGGTCCTTCTGCATTATGCTGTTAAAAATGATTTATGTGCATACTCATGGTGATTGATAATTATGAAACATCAAGCTAAGCTTTATCAAATTGCTCACAATTTGAAATTAAGTATTGAATTAGGAAAGGAGGATATTGCGATATGTAACGTAATAATAAATATAACAGGAGAGGAAAGGTGGCATGATTTTTTTTTTTAGAGATACAGTATTTGATGGACAATGTTATAGTTGCAGTGAGTTTAAAAAAAAAAAAACCTGACCTCTCTCTAATCACTGAAAAAAGTATTCCTAGATAAACATTTTTTTGATGGTCCTAGAACAAACCAAAATTTATAGTACCTGGAATAAACCATTTGTTCAATTAATCTCCATGATAGTAAATTATTTTCTTGCTTGGAATTTAGTGCACAAATGATAACTTTATGGTGCTTTTTTGTTGTTATTTTTGCAGCTTTTATAAAAAGAAACAGTTTGTACATTTTGTTTAATAGAAAAATATCTAAGTCAAGCATTGGAATGACATAAGGGTGAGTAAATGACGAGAGATTAATTCTTTAATAAATTTCAAATTAAATATATTGGTATATTTAAATAAACATATTAACCTAATCTGTAGTATATAGAGCATTAGCGTTTCCAGCCAAATGCTAAACGTTCATACACGTCGATGCACACAATATAACACAAACATACACCCATATTAACTGTGACTGTTTGCTAAGCTTTAATGACATGCACATTTGCAAACAAACAAGTTTTGTGAAGCAAATGTCATATTGAGTCACCCCTGTGATCCAAATACTTTCTGTATTTGTTCACAATAATAATCGACAGATGTTTATTGACATTAAAATGTCATCCTTGAATGATTTCTATGGTGGAGTGCTGATGAAAGAGTAGAAGATCCATTTCGCAAACTTTGGTGATATGACAGATCACGTTCATTTCACTTTCAGCAATCCGCGTATGTGAGGAAAATGTCACTTTTTTTAATCTCAGCATTTACCTCAGAACAGGAGTCAAAAGAAATGCCTGTGGTCTTAAAGTTCACAACTTAGTTTTAATTGTTATTATTATGTAAGGGATTGTGAGTAATTGCGAGTTTACATCTCACAATTCTGAGGAAATAAGTCAGAATTGTGAGATATAAACTCGCTATTGTGAGGAAAAATGTTAGAATTATGAGAAACGTGCAATTGTTAGGAAAAAAGTCATAATTGCAGGATAAATTCGCAATTGCGAGGAAAAAGTCAGAATTGCGGGTTATAAACTCACAATTGTGAGGAAAAACGTTAGAATTCTGAGAAACTTGCAATTGTGAGGAAAAAAGTCAGAATTGCGAGATATAAACTCGCTATTGTGAGAAACAAGTCGGAACTGTGAGAAAAACAAGCAGTTGCAAGACAAGTCAGAATTGCAAGTTTATATCTCTCAAATCTGATGTTATTTCTCCCAATTGAGAGTTTATTTCCCACAATTCAAAATTGCAAGTTTGTCTCGCAATTCTGAGATAAAGTCAGAATTGTGAGACAAAAAGTCTCAATTATCATTTCTTTTCTTTTTTCATGTCGGAAACAAGGTTCCATGCTAGCTTGATAGCAAGTTCACAAAACATAAAGTTAGAAGAGGCGAAGCCGTTTGGTTGAGGAAATCGCAATACTGTGCATCAGCAAAACAATATAGGCTAATATGTTTATCGTTATTAAAATTTTTTATGATAATTATAGATAAAACATAGTGTTTTGTTTACACTGTAATTATGACGGTTTAGACTGATTATGCCAGAAATTATTATACTTTCAAAACACTGACCTCGCTGAAATTGTGTAATTCGCGCGCACCGAATCACAAAGTAGACTAGCTGAGGCAATCCAGCGTCATTTCACCGCTGATTCATTTGTCACCTAACGTTAATTCTCAAGAACTTCAGATAAAAATGTGACATTGAAGAGTTTACCGTATCTAAAGTCACTCTTTCAGTTGTGTCGTGAAGACAGGAAAATGTCAACGTGAGCAAAACAACCTGGAAGTTGAAACGCGGGAGACCAACAAGACATCTCTCATCAATTTTACCCGCAAGACAGGCAGCGAAAGCTTCACAACCCTGTCTTGCGTGTCTGGTAAATGATTTAGGGACGCATGGTAGTGGAGGTTATTTTTAATAATTTGAGTGGCACCTGAGCGTGAGACTCTGGTGTGTTTTTTTGCGTGAAGGCGGCTGAAGTTATTAGACATGGCGCTTTCGATGTAGCGTCTCACTGAAGCAGCAAATTAACACAAAGACACGGCGACACATTAAGGAAAGGGGGATAGAGAAGAAATATCCGTTTCGTGCTGTATCCTTCCACTCTCACCTCTCAATTTCCTTCACCGTTTAATCTCACAATCTGTTCAATGTTGACACATCCATGTGTGTAATGTGGAACCCATCATATGTTGAGCAGGTAACTGAGAACGTCGTTTCTCAGGGGCACAACGCGTCTGTATACAGAACACTCTTCTGAGAGGGTTAAATGAGGATATGAAATGCAATCAGCTTGAAATTGCGTTCATAAATCCATAACAGCGCGATATTTTGTTGACGCACTTCTAGTCTCAACGCGATTATTCCGTCTGTAGATGTGCAATATTTTAAACAATGAGTCATAACTGTAGGCAACGCTTTTCATTTAGTATTTCAATTAGGCTAAACACAAACATCTCCTGAGGCGCTTTTTTTCCTGAGGGCCAAAAAGTGACAGGTCAGTTGAATCAAAAGGTTTTGCAGCTGGGCACAACGCGTCTGTATACAGAACACTCTTCTGAGAGGGTTAAATGAGGATATGAAATGCAATCAGCTTGAAATTGCGTTCATAAATCCATAACAGCGCGATATTTTGTTGACGCACTTCTAGTCTCAACGCGATTATTCCGTCTGTAGATGTGCAATATTTTAAACTGAGTCATAACTGTAGGCAACGCTTTTCATTTAGTATTTCAATTAGGCTAAACACAAACCTCTTCTGAGGCGCTTTTTTTCCTGAGGGCCAAAAAGTGACAGGTCAGTTGAATCAAAAGGTTTTGCAGCCGGTTGACTGAACAAGTTGAGTGTCATCTAATGAAAATTGTCATCATTTACTCATCATGTTGCTCCAAATCTTTTGTTGTTTTTGTGCAACAAGATAAATTGCTGGGTTTCTCCCTATTTTACCCAGCACTGGGTTGTATTTAACCCAGCATTTTTTAGAGTGTACTATACTTTTTTTTTTTTAAGAAATGTATGAAACCAACATGTTCACTTAACATTCTATATAGCACTTGCATTTTGATCTACTGCACTTTCATCTCAGATGTCATTGAATCTCATACATTTTTAAGTGTTCAAGTAGGTACTTTTTAGTTCCACTGTACATGCAATTCACATTTAATATTTAATTGTTCTTATAAAACATTTTTGTCATGAAAGATAATGTTTTGTCTCGCTTTTCGCCATACAGGGATACAGGAACGAGAATGGACATGACTCTACATTTCCCAGACCTAATTCAGTATGGAAATAAACATGGAGTTGCAGGATGGATGTGATATTTGGCAAATGAGCAAGGTATACAGCCATATATATAGTGCAATGTTTACAACAAGTCTTTGTGGGTAAGGAGTTATTATGTAATCATTTATTTGACTTGAATGCAAGTAAATTGTCTTTTTTTATCAGTTTGCATTTTTCCCAAACATATTTCAATCCCATTTTGGTGTTGCTCATAAAGTGCTTTGAAAAAGCAACTAAATGAAGGCAACATATTTTACATTTCAGATTTTATACAGTATTTCCCAATACACATTATCATGAAGCTTTTTAATGCCCTGAAGCCACTTAATCTTTATTTCATTCAGACTGGTGACAGAACATACATTTGTCATACTGCATTGTAAAACAATCATAAATACCTCCCCTTACACAAAGCCATTGTGTTTAATATTATCGTGGGTTTATAACCCCTTCACGTGGGATTTTATCACTAAGCTTGCTAAGCATTTGATCATAAATGCGTACGTGTGTGTGAGTAATAAAACGTTTGGAAATGTGCAGAGAACAGCATTGTTCTAATGGATGTGCAAATTCTGCCTCGGAGGGATAGAAACCACATCACGTTACCATCCAATTTGTGTTCCACTCACCAATTACTTTCATGCTCGGCTTCCCCCCATCTCAGACCGAAAGGAGATTATCTGTATTGCGTCTGAACGCTGCGGTTCCTAATTAAAAAACACAAACGAGATGCATGTATGCTGATAACACAACTGTGAAAATATGGACAATGTATAGGTCCCTACGGCAATATTTACACATTATGCAATTGTTTTTCTTTGCAGGAAACTAAATATTGATGTCAAAAAATGTGACCCTCTGTGAATATGATGTTTGCTGATAATGCTAAACTCTCAACAGTGTGATGTATCAGTATTAGCGGTTTCTGTCATCTATGTTCGGTTTAGCTAGGTCAGGGATGGAACATGAAATATGACTCGAAATTGGTTGATGTTTATAGTATGTGAATATGTTTTCAATTTATATTCATTAATATTCAGGTGATGTCAGCGAAGGGGTTCCTGTTAAAACCTTTGATTCGAAACAGTTTTTAGATGCTGTTTGCATTGTAGCATTTGCTTGTTGGTGAATCATGTTTTTGAATGATCACATATTTAAAAAAATGTCCATATATTTTTTTGGTGACACCATATACAATTTTACAATTTAATATGGTCATATAATCTTTCATGTTAATAAAGGTAAACTGGATTGTCTTGGAAGGCACTACCCAGACCTAATTAATTACAGAAGTAAAGGTGGAGTTGGAGGATGGATGCCAGAGGAATTGTCTAAGGAGTAAGGTATGCAGACAGCCTATAGATTTATGAGTTTATGCACAGTATTTTGCATGCACAGTGTGTTTAGATTGCAGTTTTAGCTGCAATTAGCATTTTAGCATCCCAGAAGGGAGTGAATGTCATGATTTAAGTCATGGTGTTTTAGAAGGAAAGTCTGATGTACAGTAAGCAATGTGTTATGAAATATTCTTTAGTGATATTTAGCATATAGAGTTTATCTATAATACCTAAAGTGTTTATTTTTTATCTTCAACTGTGTTGCAATGATATAATATATCTTACATAAAATAACCAAAACAAATATGAACAAAATTGACAATGTTTTGTGAGACAAATGAGAATGAGGAAAAAAAAAATGTTTTTGATGCATTTACATTTTTTTTTTTTAATAATTAGGTTTATATATACAGTATCTCACAGAAGTGAGTACACACCTCACATTTTTGTAAATATTTTATTATATCTTTTCATGTGACAACACTGAAGAAATTACACTTTGCTACAATGTAAAGTAGTGAGTGT